TGTTGTCGCTTGAAAGTGGATCACTTATAAAGGTTAATGTTGCTTGAAGGCGGATCAGTTATAGATTTGATTTATTTAAAGTTAGAAATCAAAGCAATGCAGCGCTAAGGATTTCCTCGCCGAGAGGGAAGATGCGCCATCTGAAGTCACGCGGGTTAACTAAGAGGTTGCTCCAGAGTAAGAATGCCTTCACCTGAAAAAAAAAAGAAAAGGAAAAAAAAATTGGCCGCCAACCATAAAATTAACAAAGCAACGAACAAAAATGAATGGATTCCTAGGCACCCCAGTGAAAACACAGCCAGCCTGGCAAACTGGTTGAGTGAAGAGCTTTTTATTCGGTTTTTATTCGGACGCTACCAGAAAGGAATTAAAGCAATTTATAAAACGCTACTCATCTCACACCCTGACTTTGGGCCGCAAACAGGAAATTAAAACCCCAAGCGAGGAAGACAACGCAATTCGTAGCAATGAAATTTCAACCACAATCTGTCGATCTATCCTGAGTCGCAAAACAATCGCTTCGTTTTGTAGTCGAGGAGAGACAGCCATGACCACAACAGGGCTGCCTTGCCTCCCACCCCAAAGATGGAAGTCCTTCATAGTTAGTAAGCCTCAGGTAAGGCCACACCTGGAAAAACTGCATCCAGTGTTGATGACCGCATTATTAAAAAAGTGTTGAGACTCTGGAAAGAGTATGGAGAAGAGTGCCTGCCTGCTTTGCCTGATTTTGGGTAAAAGTTGCTCCTTTTTAATTAAAAAAAATTCAACATTTACATAAATATTTTATAATATTTACATACTAGCCACGCCCAGCCAGTCACATGACCGCCAAGCCACGCCCAGTCAGCAAGCCACGCCCAGTCAGTCCCATGACCACCAAGCCACACCCACAAAATAGGCCACGCCCCATTTTGTTCAGAAATTTGAATCCCACCCCTGGATAGATGATGTGGCATCCCTCCCCGCTCTGTGGAGGGAGGGCTATTTAATTTAGAGACAGATGGCCTCTTAAGGCCCCTCTTTCAAACCTAGGACAATAAACCCATCAGGACTAGATTCAGACCTTCCACTTGCATTGAAAAGACAAAAGCCCTTCTTCTCAAGACAGCCAAGTCCACATGTTGGACAGACCGAGAGGACCGCTGGTTGGAAAGAGGTTTGAATTGCCAAACAGTTGAATTTGGATCGTGGGACCGGGATGGGGTCGTAAGTGCGAGGATCATTCGTAAGTTATATTTTTCGGTGCCGTTGTAAATTTCAAATGAGGGCTAAGGGAACGCTTGTCATTCAAGGGCTGTCTGTCTTAAGAAATGAAGAAGCTGCTTTTCTACTTTCTGGCTAATATAGAAACACGACGTCCGATTAACATTTATCCTGACTGGTTTTTTTTTCCGGAGAAAGGCGTGAATCAGAAGTAAAATCAGAAATACTTACAGGGCGGTGTGGCTTGAAGCATCGGTTTTCTTGAAACACTTTCAGGAAAAGTGAAAAAGGGAAGGGAAAGGAAGGAGGACAAAGAGGAGGGAAGGTAGGAAGGGGAAGGAAGGAAGGAAGGAAGGAAGGAAGGAAGGAAGGAAGGAAGGAAAGAAAGAAAAAGAAACAGAGAGAAAGAAAGAAGGAAAGAAAAAGAAAGAAAGAGAGAGAGAAAGAAGGAAAGAAAGAAAAGGAGAGAGAGAGAGAGAAAGAAAGAAAAGAAAGAAAATATTTATTTATCATACTAATAAAGAAGAATATTTGTAGCTCAGGGTTGACATGAGACAGACCTTGGTGCTCTCTGAGCTGGCTTGTTTTCCTGCAGACATTTCATGACCCAACTAGGTACCATCATCACATCATAGACTAGCACTGATGACATTACCTAGTTGGGTAATGAAACGTCTGCAAGAAAACAAGCAAGCTCAGAGAGCACCAAGGACCCTAAGTCCTCCCTCCTCCTCCCCCTCCCCTTCTTCTACTCTTCCCCTTCTTCTCCTCCACTCCACAAACCCTACTCCCTACAAACTCTGATGACGTTACCTAGACGGGTCATGAAACGTCTGTAAGAAAACAACCGAACTCAGAGAGCACCAAGAACCCCTCATTTATCATGGTTAGAAACGGCCCAATTCCCTCCATGAGTGACTCTTTCGGCACAATATCCAGGTTATTTATTTATTTATAATTCAAATTTCTTAACTGCCCATCTCCTTCAAAAAGGCGGGGGGGCGGCTTGTGCATTGAGGATGGGCCGTGTGTTGGCCTGGATTTTTGTTCAGTTTGGCAGGATAATTCCCTTCCCTCCCCTGGCAATCACTCCGTGGTCCAAAATGCTTGGAAACCTGACTTTAAGATTAACATCGTAGGTGGTGGACCTGCCCAAAGGCAAAAAAAAATTTTTTGGAGAAAAATGCATACATGGATAGAGAAAACGATAAGGCAACATATACATATAAAGCCAGAAATGTTTTTGTTAGGTATTTTGCCAGGAAAAAATATAATAAAGAGAATATATATTTAATACTGCATGTGGGGATGGCAGCGAGAATTGCATTTGCACAACATTGGAAAAAAGAGGAAGCTCCTTCAGAGGAAAATGTAATTAAAAATATATATTAGATAAGTGCGGAAATGGATAAGTTAACATTAAAGATAAAGGATAAAGAAGACACTGAATATTTTTTAATTTGGGATTTGATTTAACCGTGTTGCTTGCAACTTCACAATTTATATTGTTTTATTTGTTTCCTAGTATGATCTGATTGCTTATTAGTAACCTATGACTATCACTAAGTGTTGTATCTTATGATTCTTGATGAATGTATTTTATTTTTTCTTTATGTACACTGAGAGCATTTGTACCAAAGACAAATTCCTTGTATGTCCAATAAAACACTTGGCCAATAAAAAATTCTGTTCTGTTCTATTCCATTCTTTTCCTGTTTCTATTATATTCCCATATTCTCTATTCTATTCTATTCTATTCCAGTTTTTATTCTATTCCCACATTCTCTATTCTACTCTACTCTACTCTACTCTACTCTACTCTACTCTACTCTACTCTACTCTACTCTACTCTGTCCCTGGTTTTATTCTATTCCCATATTCTCTGCTCTGCTCTGCTCTACTCTACCCTACCCTACCCTACCCTACTCTACTCCTGTTTTTATTCTATTCCCATATTCTCTATTCTATTCTACTTTACTCTATTTTATTCTGTTTTTTTTTACCAATGGTTAGATAATAAAGGTAGAAATTAGAAGTTGGAAGAATACTATGATATACAAGGAAAGAATATTACTAATATTATGTACATGTAAAATGACCCAGACAACACACAGTTTATTAAATACTTATATATGTGTGTGTGTTTTTTTTAAAAAGGACGAACATCTGGGGCTTTAGGTTCCTTTTGGCCCAAGGCCCTGGCGATAGGAAGTGGGCGGGAGTCGCTCCCTCTCTGCCACTCCTTCGCCCAGATGTTAGGCAGATGTGAAGCCACTGCCCCAAGCCCATTATCTACCTACCTGAGGGTGCTGCATTTTGGCAGGAAGGCGGGAGGCAATTTGGAAGTCCGCCTGCGGCCAGGAGGTGGATGACAGCTCCTTCCTATGGGGTGTGTGTGTGTGTGGGCACCAGGACTCAAGCGGGAGCAGCACCTCCTGCCGGCAAAGAAGGTTGTTTTCCCGCCAGGGGTTGTCTTCCTGGGGGAGACTCGGGTTTCAAAAATGAAGCAGCCCCCCCCCCTACCCCAGGACTTCTGGGTCACATTCGGACATCCGAAAGGGCACCTACAACATTTATGGCTGAAGGAAATTTGCCTCTTGCCAGAAGGGGCCGCTTCTTAAAAAAATAGGAGCATTACTAATATTAGGAGCATTATTAATATTAATATTATTACTAATATTATATATTATTCCAGGCTTTTCTCACTGCTCATACCCCCCCCACACCGCATCCCATCCCATGGCAGTGTCCCACAGTGCCAAAGGCTAAATTTTGGGCTGTAGAAAGGACGGTCGTGTCCGGTTACGATAAAGGAGACCACAGGATGCTCGGGGTTTTGGGTTGTTGTTTTTTTAATTCTATCGCAATTGGTGTAGAGTTCAGCCCCACAAAGCTATGGCTAATTACAGGAGTCAGTCAGTCAGTCAGTCAGTCAGTCAGTCAGCCAGCCAGCCAGCCAGCCAGCCAGCCAGCCAGCCAGCCTGCCTGCCTGCCTGCCTGCCTGCCTGCCTGCCTGCCTATCTATCTATCTATCTATCTATCTATCTATCTATCTATCTATCTA